TGCCTTGGAGCTTGTTTTAAGCCATATAGGGACTTTTTAAGAAGGCAAACTAAGTCAGATTTCTGATTTACTTCAAATCCTTTAGGTTGTTTCATGTAGATGGTTTCATCTAGGTCACCATTTTAAAAGATTGTTTTTACATCTAATTGATCTAGTTCCCGGTTAAACTGTGTGATTAAGGCTAAAATAACCCTAACAGTAGTAAATTTTACAACTGGTGAGAAGATTTCATTGAAATCTACTCATTCTTTTTGGGTAAAACCCTTAGCTACTAGTCTAGCTTTGTATCTTATATCATTTTCATTTTGTTCACCTCTTTTAATTTTGAAAATCCATTTACAGTCAACAACACTTTTTCCTTCTGGTCTTTTTACCAAAAGCCAAGTTTTATTCTTTTTAAGTGATTGCATTTCATCTTGCATTGCTACAAGTCATTCCTTAGAATCTTTACTATTTATGGCTTCCTCAAAGGACTCGGGCTCATTTTCAATCATACTTTGATAGGATAGCAAAGATACATCTTCATTAAACCTAGCAGGAGGCCTTATTTGTCTTCTTTGCCTATCTCTTGCTAGTTGATAATTGTCTAAAGATTGACCAGATGCTTGTTCCACTTCAGATTCATCATTAGGAGTACCATCACCAGGTATCTCCTCATTTTCCTCAACAGATTGTGTAGCATTCTGATGATTTTCATCATCAGATTGCTCCACCTCAATTTCAACCCCCTTTTCCACATTTTCATCCTAATTCAAGGGCTCTATTTAATTTTTAGATTTATGGTAGGGCAGATCATAATCAGTAGAATCATCCTCATTAAACACCACATTTCTACTGATTATGATCTTATAGCCTTTGTTCTCCCTTACCCATAACCTGTATCCCTTTATCCCTTCACCATAGCCCAAAAATACACATTTAAGGGCTCTAGGTTCTAATTTTCCTTCATATTGGTGTGCAAAAGCTGCACAATCAAATACCTTCAAGTTACTGAAGTCAATAGGTTTTCCATTCCACATTTCTTTAGGGGTTTTAAAGTGTATAGCACTGGAAGGGCTTCTATTAATCAAATAGCTAGCAGTTTTAACAGCTTCCTCCCAGAAAATCTTAGGCAGACCTGAACTTAAGAGCATACATCTCACTTTCTCAAGAATTGTTCTATTCATTCTTTCGGCCAAACCATTTTGTTGTGGGGTGTGTGCTACTGTACGATATCTTAATATACCAGAAAGTTTGCATAACTCATCAAATTCCAAATTGCAGAATTCCAAACCATTATCAGTTCTTAATACCTTAATATTTTTATCAGTTTGGTTTTCAATCAAAGTTTTCCAGTTCTTGAACATACCAAAAGTATCAGATTTTGATTTTAAAAGAAAAGTCCAATTTTTTCTAGAAAAATCATCAATAATTGACAAAAAATATTTAAAACCAGTATGAGTTGTTACAGAAGCTGGTCCCCAAAGATCAGCATGCAAATATTCAAGTATAGACACAGATTTATGCATTCCAGGTAAGAAAGGTAATCTATTATGTTTTTCAAAATTGCAATAGTCACAAAAACTGAGTTTTTCTATGTTATCCTTTTCAAAGGCACCCTGTTTATTCAAAATCTGTAGCCCTTTGTCACTAATATGGCCCAGTCTTTTATGCCATATATGTGACTTATTATTTTGGACTGAGATTGCCGTTGATGTGGATTCCAAAAAATTTTCGGTTTGTAAAATGTACAGGCCATGTCTCTTTGGGGCTTCAACAATTACTTGTGAACCCCTTAAGATTTTAATGTATCCCTTGTTAATCAATATGTCATAGTTTAGGTCATCTAGAACCCCTAAGGAAATAAGATTTCTTTGCAAATCAAGAACATATCTAGTCTTTTCGAAAACCAGGTTATTATTTCCTTTTACTTTCAAGGTAATTGTTCCTATTCCTTTAACCTGACATGTCATATGATTACCCATTAAAACCTTACCACCCTTTACATTTTCAAACTTTGTAAACCATTCTTTGTTTGGGCACATATGGTAGGTGTAGCCAGAGTCAAGAATCCACTCTTGACAAGGTGAACTGCTTACAGCCGCATAGACTTCATCAATTAAGTTTCATTATTGTAGGCTAAGGCTACACCACCATTTTCTTTAGATTGGTTTTTGAAATCACTAATTCTTTTGGGACAGTTTTTGATAAAATGACCCTCATTTAGACAATAGAAACACTTCTTTCCTTTAGTCTTCATTTTCATTTTATCCTTAGGATTTACCTTTTTCTTGTGTCCAGGTTTTTTGACAAAGTTCACAGTCTTAGGGTTAGTCTTATTATTAGCCATCAAGTTTTCCCCATTGATAGATTCTTTCCTGCCAGACTTTAACTCTAACTCCTTATTTCTTAAAGCATTAATAATCACATCAGTGGTTAGAGTTTCACTCCCATATTCAACTGCATTTTTAACATCTTTATACTTATCACTAATTGAATTTAACAAGACCACAGCCAACTGATCTTTTGAGAGTTTCTCATCACAATCGGCTAGGTCACGGGATAGTCTATTAAATCTATCAATATTAGCCTCAAGATCAAGTGATGGTTCAAGTTTAAAGCCAAAGAACTGTTTCAGAAGATACACCTTATTTGGCATAGATTTGTTTAGGTACGTATCTTCCAACTTTTTCCACAACTCAGCAGCAGCCTTAGTCTCACCTATTTCTCTAAGTACATTATCAGATAAATGCTGAAAAATTGAACTCTAGGCAGTTTCATCAAGTTCAGTTTTCTTGGTTTCTTCTAAATCATCAAGCCATGTTTCATCAATAGCTTTAGCACACTTTTGTTGTAACAAAATTGCCCTAATTTTCTGGCGCCAGAGACTGAAGTCTCCTTTGCTATTAAAAACATCCAATTCAAATTTTGTATTTGTCATTTTAGAAAGATTTGAATATAGTTCCAGAATGTACAGATCAAATAAACACTTCACAGTTATTTACAACTCAAAATCAATTCAAGTATCACCACTCAAGGGACATGAATATACAGTAATCATAAGTTGTAAAGAACTTCAGTTATTTCACAGGAATTGTTCAAAGTCTAAGAGTCATAGCGTGTTTTTCACTACACAAATCACATTTGAGTAGCAAGAACCAAGATTATATGCTAATCAGTATCACAGCAGTGTATTAATAACAAGACCTTTGACTTATGTCAAGGTAACCCTCAGATTCCAGAGAACTCTTAGGGTTTCTGGACAAAGGAATTACCGAGGCAGTCGCAGATCACAAGATTAAATCACAGTAGCAGCAGCTCAAAAATTTATACAATTAATTTTTTGTAGTAATCAAAAAACTAGAACAATCTCACCATATCCCTTCAATAGGGTTTCAAGAAATAACGAAGGTTAGCTAAAGTAAGTGTCACAGTTTCAGATCTACACGAGTTAGAGTCAAGAACCTCCGTCCGAAAGCTCTGATACCACTGTAAAGAGGAGGTTCCACAATATTAGATTTAATCAACAATGAAAATACAGTAATGAATGTATTAAAAACACAAAATCGGAGATCTCATTGAAGGTGCCCTAAGGCAGTAACAAGATGAAGATTCGGCCAATGAATAAGATGCTCCTTCCACCAAGCAGACCACTGCAAGTGTTAATCACACCAAGGCTTAGAAATTAGGATGTTTTCGCACTCAGACCAAAGATCACCCAAGATCATAGAAGATACAATCTTCTCACTTCACAAATCGGTTCACCCAAAAACACAGTACACTTCTCAGTGATAATCACTCAAGATTACAAAAAACAGTTTTGAGCAAATGTTGAAAATCAAAGGAGATCGATGATTTTCAGAGAGGAAGAAGAAAATGAACTTGAATGGCCAGAGCAAAATGAAGAGTCTAGAAGAATGAAAAATTCACGAGTCTCAAACCCTAGAACTCTCTTTTATATGAGTCACCAAATGGTCAATCATCCAATGGACATGGGGTTGACACATGGTATCATCATGAGGGTCCAAAGGAGAAACACAGTTTTGCAAATTAAAAGTGCGTTTTTTTAAGGGACCAGCTAACACATTCAAAAAACAGCAAATAAAAGTCAGCTGATCAACTCACGCTACTTCATCATTGTGCCACACCCTTTCAGCGATGAATTAACAAGACACACTAAAAATTGAGGACTAAAGGGAACAATTCTTCCTCCGAAATATTAACAAGAAATTGTGAAGAATATTTTGGAATTTATAACCTGCAACCAATAAGAATACAAATAACAAAGGAATGCTTGTGGCGAAGGCAATTAAGATGCCGTGGCTTGTTTTCATTCTATAATCTCACTATCCACTCTTTATGGAAAAAAGGATAGGGTTATCCTTAGCTTTTTGAAACTCGCCCAAACATAACACCTTTCCTTTCTTCTCATCATTAAAATCGTTTCCATTCAATCTTGAAAAATGTCAAGATTTAGATATAAAAAATAGTGATTCGTGTGGTGATATTAGATTTATTGATGATAAAATTTAGTTTGTTGGATCCAATGACCCATTTGACAGTCAACCTTATTATGATATGAGCTCGGTACGAGCCATTTTGGCAAGAATTTTAAAAAGTCAAAAGTTGCTTTTCAAACTAAGAATTTGATTATGAACGTGCTTGAATAAATTTCTCCAAGTGTTTTATTTAGTTAGAATAGTTTTTAGGGGAAGTTGACTTAAGGTGACTTTCTCTTTTACAAGAAGTAAAAGTCTTTTCAAACGAGTCCTACTATTAGTAGTTCACTTAAATTAGTCATCATAATGCCAATTAAGCACGAGCATAATAAGTTGTCAGAACGAATGGTCGAGATTAGAATATCCAGAGATATCTTGAATTCATTCATATGAAGGGGAAAGTGATAGCTGATGGATACCTAAGCAAGTGGTCTAGCACATTAATCTTCATCTCTCACGAAGGAACAAAAACGTTCGTTAATTTATTTCAACACGAGGTTGCCTTTCCGTCCAATGCTTTCCTATATAAAGTCCCAAAGAGCCTCCCATTATCTGTACCAGCTAAAATCCAAGTTCTCAAGTTTTGCATTGCTTTCTTGCACACTTTTTCTTTCTTCAATCCATTCTTTACTTGTCTTTATTATCAAGGCATCTCAAATTTATTCCAATTTCTCTCTCTGAAATACTTACAAAATATCTATATCGAACAAGTTTTTGAAGCTCCAAATCTGAAGAAATGGCACTTGCTACAATTTACACCACAGCAACACCTGCTGCTGCAGCAATAGGGCTTTATTTCTTTGTTAGAAATCACTCCACCAACCAGGTAATATTGTCTTTCATATTTTCTTGATTATTAAAGTTATTTTTTTTAAGAATCCCAAGAATCTCGACTCGAGAAAACATTTGAGTTTCTTGTTTAGTTAACAAGAATAAAGTTTGGTAAACAAAACTTAGATATAGATGAGTTCCGAACAATGTCTAAGGACTTCTTTGGCAGGACTTTTAAAAAGTTTAAAAGTTACTTATGGGATTATGAAGTTAATTCTGAACGTATTTGGATAACTGTATGAAAGTGATTTATCTGGTTAAAAGAGATTTAAAAAAAAGTTGATCTAAGTTAACTTTTTCAGAAAGCTCTGATACAAGAAGTAGAAGCCTTGCTAAATGAGTCCTGTCGAGACTATTACAAAAATCTTTTCAAATCTTGAACATGAACAATGCTTCATTTTTGTTTGAATTGTATGTAATCTTCTTGACATTTTACACAAGCTAAATTTGCCATTTTCTTTGTTCTGTGTGATTAGGAAACTGGAGTACGAGGTTACATTACCAATTTTCTAGCGGAAGTTAAGAAAGAGGTCAAGAGTGGTCAAATGCCAAAGTTGGCACCACATTTTGATGGTTTAAACTCTTTTGAAACCCTGGTTGGTCATTAATCCAGGCTGTGGAATTCTGAGCGAAAATTGAATATTTTCGTATTAATGTTGCATTTATAAGACAATATCTACATTAGCAAACAACAATATCGGTTTGTCTTTTGTTGAATCTATCTTTAATTTTTAATGAATCAATTTATACGGTGATGATTTATCTTTTACGTGTTTTAGAATTAATGATTAATTAATTGACTACGATGAATCGGAATATAAAAGAAAGAAGTACAATATCAACAAGAATTTTCACGAAGATGTGGGCAAATTTTCAAGACCTTGATACGCCTTTAGAGATATCGAAAAGCTATTCATGAAACTACTCCAGACTATAAGAGCTACAGGGAAAGTCACAAGGGGGAAGTAGTAGCTATTTAGGACCCCCAAGAGCTCCCCAAATAAGGCAAAATCGAGATGGGGACAGGGAGCAACTGGCTGGGGAGGAATGGGTGATGATGAGGAAAAATAATTGGCAAAGGCCGAGGAAAGAAAAATGCTACATGTACCACCTAGTTTACAAAAATTACAGGTGGCAAAATCTCAAGCCATCTTTGACAAAAATACACAGTTAATCCAACCATAAAATATTGTCATGGCATCATCTGTAAATCTCTCCATACAATTCATCTCTACAAATAACTTTGTTGCAAGAGAAAACCCTCAATGGCATCTTTAGAATTTAATACTATATAGAAGTTAATGGTAAAACGAACAAAATTTTTATGGTAAAACGAACAAAATTTTGAACTTCTTTTTTGTCTTGAATGGAATACAATACAATACTCTAAATCCCCCTCACTAGAAAGCGGGTGAAGGTCCAAATGAGACTGAAAAATCTCAGTACTACACAGTCATCAGTGATAAGATATTGCAAACAGTTGGAAAGATAATAAAACACAGAACGCCATTTATCACTGTAATTGAATTTTATAGGAAGGAAAATGAAGGTATATTGATCTATTATTACAGCCAAAACGAAAAGTTTTACAGACAAAAGTAAAGAAGACCTAGATGGACCGGTGAAGGAAGACTTTTGAATTAAGACAACGATCTTACTAACCAGGTTTACAAATATATCCTCAGTTACTCCTTGGACAAGCTCTTCTTCCTATGTTCCCGAACGTTCTTGCCAAACCAAATATAAGGGGCTTGGTCAAGAGTCCTCGGTCGAGACTACAACCAATTACAATTGCACCGCCAATTATCAGAAGCTTCGGTATGTTTACACCACCCTTTGTTTTGCCAGGTGAGTCTAGGATTTGTGTCTCCGATGATTCTTCTTCACCTTCCAAAATCTTCAGGTAGTCGGAATCAATTTTCGTGTTGATTTGAGCCATGAATGCAGGATGAGATAGGGGCGCTCCTGAAGCCCTCGCCTTCTGGTAAGCCCGAAAACCACGATCAATATTCCTAACAGTTCCCCACATGCCCTGTCGTACCCCAAATCTTGCGATTTCCCATGGGATGCCCATATCTTCATGATGGAAGAGCATCACCTCACATGCAGATAGTTCACCGTCTCTTTTCCTTGATTCCACTGTTCCATGGCAAGAAGGATGTCAAGAACGAAAATACTCAAGCCATGCTTACAATATCAGAAAAAACTTGTCCTTCCTTACTAAAAAGTAGTAGTGTATACATGGACAACAATTTTGCTTATCCAGTTCTATTCCACAAGTTTGTCTGTCCTCTATATAGCCATTCGTTTGGAAAAACATAAAATTTAAATGTTCCCACAAAGAAATAAATTTTATTACCTGCTTGAATGTACCAACTAGAGTAATACAGATCAACACGTCTTGGTTTGTCTTTCCTTGGAACAGAAGAGCAGGGAACACCCTAGTCCAGAAATAAAAGGTGTCAGACTAAACATAGATACCTAACTTCACCGGAGCTGAATATGATGAAAATTTAAGCCACGAAGGAAGGCAATACTAGCAGAGAGATGTATTTTCTTCATTAGTTATTTTTCTCTTCCCAGTCACCAGGGAGAAAAGGGCCAACAGAAGTACAAATGAACCAGATAAATGTACTCTTTTGGTTTGACTCAATTATTGCTAATAATTTCATACCTTTGTCACACAATAATACGTTCTTCCAGACTCCCATATTCGACGGCCTATTATGTATTCTCTGTTGCTGCAGAAAAAAGGGAACTGCACAACAAAACCCAGCATCGGTACTTGGAAGTTAGAACAACTTTAAGCAAAATAACATACATGCAATGTTTAAAAGGTATAATCAGGAACTGAGGCAATTTTCCTATACGAGTTAAGGCATATTGAGTCATAAGCCTCACGATAAACCAAAAAAATGTCAAGAAACTATTAAAATGCAAAATAACCTCATAATGCATTATAAACAATCTTCAAAATTCATAATAAAACAATTTAAAGTCTGCAAACAAACAAAAGAAAAAATGTATAAATAAACTGTTATTTTAGTTCGTAGGGGGTAGTGGATTATTCCCCAAAGTGGGCTATGAGAAACACAATTTTTTGCTGTTTTAGTAGGCCACTGGTGTATTCTCAAAACGTTTAGAGGCATTTTTTGCATGCCTCACACTCTGAGGCAGGCCTTAAGCAGGTTTCAAGTGTTTCTTTTTTTCTTCTTCTTTTTTTTTTTTAATCATGCATATATGAGCACATGTGAGGATAGGTTCCAGTTTCCTAACCTTCCGTATCCAATGAACAATCATCATTCCAGTGGTGGGGCATTCTTCTATAATTGACGCATGGATAAGCATATCATCCCACTTCATCCGAAACTCATCATCCCAAAAGAAGTCCCTCAACAGTTCAGGTGATGCATCCTCATACACAGTTCTGCTACAATACTGCGGAGGACCATTCTGACAAGAAGCATAAAGATACAAATTAATTATAAAAAATTGCACAATTAAGGAAAAAAAAAAAAAGGCAAGCATCCTATAAACAGAAGAGAGAATAAGTTGATAAACAACACATTCAGTACCTCAGGATCTCTCTGCCATGCTTGGTAACTCATATTGTGGGTTGAACGATCCATCATATGCTTCCAAGGGGGGCCTCCGTCTTTCCTCTCAACAAGACGACATAAATGTACCAGATCCTCGTCCATAACAACCAAGTTCTCCTCTTTTCTTACCTTTGAAGAACTATGAGAGCAGCATACATGTTACGAGTAAGTCATAGTTCATCAGCATAGAAGAAAGGAGAAAAATCTAACACGTCTAACTGACATGACAAGTTATAAATCACTTTTCCAGTAACATATAACATATGACGTAACATTCATTGAGCCAGAATGCGTAGACTTACAAGTGTTCTTTACTCGAACAACTAAAGTTGCAAGCAATTCATTGATCTCAAGATTGCAGCAAGTACAAAATTAACATAACTACAAAGGTTTTACATTCAATCCAACCAGACAACCGCAAATAGCATTACCAACTATACAAAAGAACATATTCTCCATTCATGGAAACAGATAGCTTTATCATCTTAAATCATTAGTGTATACTTTTATTGAAACAATACAGCATGAATACCTTAAAGAAACATAATATCCAACTGTTTCCCCAAGCAATATAACATCATTTAGCCAAGGTTCCTTTTGATTGGTAAGGTTGTCAAAAGTTATCTTTCCTTGAGTTTGATTTCAGGGTCAGGGAAAAATGCTAAAGCCCTTTGTTTATTTAGAGATAAGTTTACAAACAATAAAATACACTTCAGATCCATCTTTGAGGTGCCACCATAGGCTTAGTAAGCTCCTAAGCTAAGAACAAGGCTACAAAGTTTTTGAACTTAACCAGATAAACCTGTACATGATATTATCAAAAGCACCTAATTTGGCAGAAAATGGAAACTTCAACACATTAATGTGCAGAATGTTCGAAAAACACACCACCTACGTTTCTAAGCCTAAAGTCAATACCATATGAAATCAAAACAAGAATACAAACAGTTGATGTATCATCAAGTTTTTAACAAATTATAGAACTCCAGACACAAAATTTACCTCGAAACAACGTTATCTTCTCCAAGCAATTCAACGCGGTTGTTCTCTAATCTATTATCCAATACCAAAGAATCCAAGATTTGGGTCGAAACAGAACCCTGGACGGGGGAAGGGATCAAGGCAGAGGGAGAAGAAGGTGCTGAAAAATCAAATTTACGTTTCCTCAAACTAGCCCATCCTGGTTTCCAGGCCCATCCTACCATTATCCCCAGAAGAAAAGCAATCCAGACAGGACCCAAAATCTGTATCATCCCTATTATAATTGCCCCCATCGTGGGCCTTTCTAAAATCTCCAAGAACGCCTCAGCCAATGTCATAACTATTAATTTACACGAACAAAAGAAGAAATTTTGATGATAAACGGAACCAAAATTTTTAATCAAGATGAAATCGAAACCTCCGCTAAAATTAGCGGGTGGTTGAAGAAAAAGAGAGAAAAAAAGAAATTAAAAAATATATATATCACAAGTATATCCACAGCACATATTTTCTGATAAGATTGAAAGGGCCATTAATGGTGGAAATGGTAATTCTAGATTTGGTTTAGCCCTTTCCACCAATAACTACAAATTGGAACAAAACAATACAAAAGGGTAATAAAAAATTACAACACCAATAGATGTTTAGCAAAAGGTGGCCCAGTTGCCAACTGTTTAGTATACAGTAAGTGGTGTGCTGTTCAATTCTAAGAGGTTAAAATGGAATTTGCAGCTTTTCACATTTCTTGAAGAAAATAACCACCACAGATTGTTAGAGGACTTAGGGGTGGACGGTCGTGCGGGCTGGTATTCCTAGGTCGGTGGTTGCTTTCGCTTTGAGATAGGAATGAACGGCTACTCGATTTGTGGTTGCCTTGTTTACCACGTTCATAAAATTAGGATAATTGTATTCCTTCATCCTTATCCAATGTTTCTAGTTAAGCCCATGTTTAACATAAACCCTATGTTTGAGAGCCCAATTTTTTCCATGAAAAATGAAAAATGAAAAATAAATTTCAACTTTTACTTTGCACCTGTTTGATTGACAAAATTTTCTAAAAAATTGATTTTCTCACTCTTGCTACCACGTCAGCATTTTCTTGATTTTCATGACTTTTCAAGTTTTCGATGTTTTCAAATTTTTAAAATTTTGTTTTTTTTTTAGTTTTTGCAATTTGAACAAATTTTAGGGGCAATTGTAAAAGATGATATCTTTTAAATTGACAATTTTCATGTAAAATAAAGTCAAACGAACACCAAAAGATAGTTGATTTTTTGTTTTCTTGGAATTTTTTTATTATTTCTTTTGACAATGAAAAGAAATTCTAAAAACAATTGTAAAAGAAGATATTCCTTAAATTGACAATTTCTATGAAAAACAAAGTCAAACGAACACAAAAAAACACTTTTATTTCAACAATTTTCATGTGAAAAATTATACCAATCAAACACAATAATTGACAATTTTCAGTAAAACAATTTTTTGTCAATTCAATTTCCTGAAATTTGTTTCCTTTCCACCCAAATTTCATCTTTGTAATCAAACGGGCCCAAAGAGTTTTGAATAATATTTATTGGAGAATGTGTGATTAAAAAATAAAAGAAACTTTATTGGTTTGTATGTAGAATATTTGATTGTGTAAATGTGTGGCGGTGAATCATACTATAATAGACAATTTAAAATTTTAAAGTGAAAATTGCAGCAAAGTTCCCTAATCTTTTCGTTTGTTGCAAATTTTACTTTAACTTTCATTTTGTGACAGGGAAGATTTCTAGCCTTTCATAAATATGCACTTGAGGTCCATCTAGACGGAAACTGTCCAAAACACCGTCAGTTGATCAAAAAAATTCCTTGAACTATCTATTACTGTGACGATTTTATTGGATATTAATACCTTTCTGGATGGTGTTTTGGACAATTTTATTGTATATTGATTCCTTAATTTTTTCAGTCAACTGACGGTGTTTTGGACGATTTTTGTCTAGATAGACCTCAGATGCATATTCATGAAATGTTAGGTACCTCCACTAGCACAAAATGAAGGTTAGGGTAAAATCTATAAAAAATGAAAAGATTAGGGATCGCTAATGCAATTTTCCCAATTTTAAAGGTTGTCAAACACATCCTAAATTTCAGCAACTTGTTTGATTTCTATTTTTTGTTCAAAAAAAATATATATATATTTTATTTAACTACAAAATTTTCAACAAAATAATATTATAAGTGAACCCAAATTTTTTTCTTATTTTAACCATATATTTTCTATCAATATACTATTTTAAAATGGATTTTACACCAGAAGATGAGGCTTAAACAGATTACCTAACTAAAAAAATTAATATCAAAAGTTTATGAAAGACTTTTAAGTATTTGTTATCAATAAATAGTGTTATTATGACGTCACAGTACTCAAGTCGTTCTCAAAAATTAAAATGTTTATTTAAACATCTACGAGACACTTATGTTTATTGAAGTAACATTTATATGTAATGATCACATGTAAGTGGTTACACTAATTCTTACTTTATTCAAAAAATTAACATCAAAGTCTACAAGACACTTAAAGAAGTATATACATGTCAACAAATTTTTTTTTTTTTTATGACATCGCGCTAATCAAGTTGTTCTCAAGAATTAAAACGCATGATATTTTTGGGGTTCCTAGAGTATCATGTCTTCAGTTTTGGAAGAACATGCATTTTCTGAATTGCATTCTACCAACTAATTTTGCAACTCCAATCTATGCGTGAGTGCATCACTTTGTGCATTTTACTCATATATTGACTTTGTCAACTTTTCAATGACTAAAACCATTATTGGATTCGATCATCAAAGCTCAAGTTCACTTTTGTAACCATCATTAGCTTGAAAGATTCTTCAGAGGAATAATAGTCTCTCCACCTTCGAGGAGGTGGGGCATGAAAAGACTTAGATACAAATTTGCAAGTAGATATGGAACAAGAATGAGAGCTTTTCTCCAACCTCTTGATCTTTTCTATTATACGGGAGCCTAACTCCTTGAAAGTGATTTTCATCTTGCATTTGTTAGAGAATTTCCTCAAATGTGAGACCAATTAAACTTTTCATATCTTTATTTGGCTATGATTGCATAGAAGAGTTCAACAAGTGTCTTTCTAATACAGTCATAGTCAGGGACGAATCTTGTCGCTCGAGTGAGATAGGGCGGAGCATCGAGCATTTATCAAACACCGAGCGATATTGTTTACTAATATTTAACTAATTTATATGAAAAGAATCTCCAATCAATATATAAATGCATTAAAATGTAAAAATAATATAAATATTAAAATATAATTCAGTACAACCCAAAATAATAAGGAATAAAAATACATTTTTTGAATCATATACATATTATCAAGTTTCAAATTTTTATGAAGTTAAGCGAGACAAGATGAATTTTATATGTAAAGTATTGGTTAATCGATAAAGACAAAAATTTAAAAACAATGAATTTTAGAGCTATTTTTGCCTCCAAAAAGAAATGTATTTTTCAAACTCTTAAAAGAACAAAGAATTTTACAAAATAAATTGATAATACTTTACAATTAAAGTATATATTATGAAGTAATAATTTTAGTCAATAAATTTTTTAAGCAATGATTTTTAAAGTTATTTTTACCCAAAAAAAGAAATCTTTTTTTCGAACTCTTGAAAGAATAAATATCAGTACTTAAATTGTCCAAATTTGAATTTTATAAAATAAATTGATAATATCTAATAATATATAATTGTTTGATTATTATTTATTATGTTAAAAAATTAAAAAGAAGAAGAGGAGGTGAAGTGAATTGAACCCCATATCTCTTATATGTTAAAAATGGACTTTTCAATTGAGATACAAAATCATATCAGTGTAAATTAAAACAAAATAATATACAATTATTTAACTATTATTTATTGTGTTTGAAAAAGTAAAAGAAGGATTGAAAAGGAGGGGAATCGAACCAAGTCCCTTTCACTTGCAAAGCCAACGCCCTACCAAGTGAGCAATGATCACTTTTATCAATACTTAGTACAGTTTACATTTTTATCATAACAATTTCATTAACATGAAATTCCTTTCCCACCGGAGCCAGCACGGCCTCGTCGAGTGCTAGCTCCATCCTTGGTCACAGTTTCCTTTTTCCTTTCTCTTGCTATAGATATAGTGATTTGAAATTTAGAGATTATGTGAGATCAAAAGATAAGTGGACAAAAAGGTCCCCACCATGCATGTCAAGAAATTTGTACAACAAATTTCGTATATAAACATACAAAAATTGTTATAAATTAATTTTTATAAAACAAAGTTAAGATCTTCTTGTAACTATGAAACTGCATAATCCTCTGATTAACAATCTGAGTGTTTGAGGAGGAGGGGACATATGACTTAAATCCTGAATTTCAAGGTTTGTTGAAAATTTGATTTGCTGAAAACTTGACTTGCTTGAAATATGAATTTGGACTTCACTTGGTTTTCGGGACCTAACTAAATTTACTTTGATTTAGAGAAGACTTTTGATCCACTGAACTTGGCTTGAACTTGCTCGAATTTGAAGTTTTTTTTATCTTCTAGTGCATTTTTTTTTTATACTGAGATGGCACATTATACTTATTATTGCGAGTTGATGAGCGGCTCTTATGGGGAAAATTGTTGCTTGACTCGAGCCCACTTAACACCCCTGCATATTCTCGCATTCATTGAAACCAAAATCCATTTTGAAGGGAAACTTCAAATACAATGTTGGCTTAATGCGTACGAGTCGTAAGGCATATAAATAACATGTCTCCAAATAGAAATAGGAAATTTGTCTTATTCGGAAAATTTTCCACAAACTTCAAGTTACAAGTGTATTATGAACTCACTTATGACCATCTAGTGTTGAAATTTTATTAAAATTAAACTTTATAAACTTTACATATATAATTGCCAAGATCTCTATGTCAAATTACCAAGAAAAGTAATTAATGTGAAACATAGCTTAATTCGTTGATTTGTATCTTGAAAAAAGAATCTTGAAGCTTGAATTACAATCATCAAATGCTAACTTTTAGATCTTTAATAATGAGATGACACAAAGAATGAGAAATTACATATGAATTAGGGACCATAATCCTATATATATTTTCCTTATCATGAAATATAATTATCAAGGAACTTGATCTCTACACATATAATTCGGTCCACACTTTATTTAAATGTCCAAAGTCCAATGCCTTAATTTTTTTTATTAGATCACCTTAATTTTGAGCTTAATTTTAAGATAGTCTTTATATACAATTAAATACATGCGTAGGCCCACATGACAAATTAATAATTTCCCAATAATCTCTCACTAGATCCATATATGTTACCTTATAAATGTGTATAACTTTATAAGTTCAAAACTTTTGCTATCACAACCAAAAGCATCTCTGAACAATCTCGTCCATCAATTATGTTAATATAGGATCAAAATGGTTTTTGTTACAAGTATCATAACTAAATCCTCGACGGTCACCTATATCAACACAATCAAATGACATAGATCAAGTATGGATGTGAAGTATGAAAATTACATGTAATGTGATCTAAAAATGTTTATTTTCAACTGGTCCTACCTTATTCTTTAATACCTTATACTTTAATTACATCAAAGAAAATTTTTAATTAGAGTGGAAACTAAACTGAATACTTAATTACTGAAATAAACTTGAATGTGCATGAATAAAATCATGTGTTCAAAAGAGACAACATACAAAATTGGGATATCATCAAAATATAAAACGCCCATATGAGCAATATGCTCATGAAAGATTTTGGGTGGTAGTCCTTTAGTAAATAGATAGGCTATCACG